TAAATTTAGAAAATAAATCTTTTAGTGAGAAATTTCAAAAAGGCGGGAAAATTTTCATTTTAATCCGAAGTATTATCACCTACAATATTGACAACTGCTTGATTAATAACTATAGTTTCCATTGACTGAATATCTTACGTCAATTGATATCTAGCGATGTAGGTTTTTAATAAATCTTGCCAACGGTTACTAAAAATAATTCTCAAACGCTTCAAAAAACAAGTTAATACATCTTTCGGCAAATAATAAAGTGTGATTCTAGGAAAAAAAATTGTTGTGAATATCATAAATGTAGAGAAGCCACGAGAGGAAATTAGAGATTAACGGTTGAATCATTGAATATTAAGCACAAAAACTCATATGTAGCGTGCAGAAATGAAATAAAAAGGTGAAATCAATTTAGACTTCTTTTTTTTTCTCATAGTTCACGTCACAAGTTGTCAATCAATTTACTGTACACGGTAGATGTGCTCTCAGTATGTTGTTATCCTGCTGTTTTTTACGCTTCGAGTGGAATTGGAACCTATCTCGACATAGAGAGCAAACAAGATGTTTATCTGGATATTATAAACTGGCAACTTTTTTTTTTTATTTTAATGTCTCCCCTCCATTCAAACAAATCTGAGTCAAACATGTGGAAGCATTCAGTAATCTCTATGCATACAAACTTTATTTTTTATAATTTTATTTATTTATTTTCTCAAAATGTAGATCAAAAAATGATTAAGAAACGAATCATAAATGAGTAATTTAAATGAATCTACATGATCCGACAGTTCATCATCAGGTCAGAATTGAATTGGCAGTTGTTTCACGAATGCCCTTAAATCATTTCATCCGACTGATTGCGCTACTGCTTTAACAAGGATTTCGTTTTCATGTATACCGAAATATTGTTTATATGTACAGCCAGAAAGAGAGATGAACACCTGGGAAATTGTTAAACTCAAATGTATATACACATACGGACTTATGTATAGTACAGGAATAAACTATACTGAGAACAATATTACACACCTTGGGATTTTTAAAAAAGGGATTTTGTTTTCTCTCTCAGATTTTGCTTTAAATAAGCCTCTTCTTATTCCTCCTATGTACATATCTTTCGTCGTAAAGAAAAAAAAAACTTATTCGTATTAAAACTATAGGACGAGCTAAAAGATGCGATGAGGGATGAAAAAATAAAGAAATAAGATAGAAGGCGATAGGCGAACAAAATTCTGGTTCAATGATTTTTTTGCTGCTGCTGCTTTTACGGCTGTTCGGCGAAGGATGCTTGAAAAAATTGTGTAAAGTTTTCTGATTTTTTTTTCGAATGTACTTAATGGATCTTAGTTGGAGAAGTGGTTGTTTGAATGTTTTGTGGGTGAATGATGTTAGAGCGCAGTTTTTGGAGTTGGATTGTGAGTTTGAGAAGAGATTATTGGTTGTAAAGATTACTAAAGGTTAAGGACGTTTGAGCTAGAGTGTCAATGAGGTAGGGTTAAGACTCTATTAGATTAGTAGCTTTGAAAATTAAATCGTTAATACTAGAGCTTCAACCAATCCTAGAGTCAAAAATGAATGAACAAAACTCAAGAATATGAATAAAATCTGACTTTGACTATTGTAGGTACCCGCAGGTCCAGTCTTAATCTTACAATCTTATTCGTCCAAGTTTTATAATCATGCGCCCCTTTAAATCGATGCAATTGGATTTCTAGCTTCCATAGCCTTACCTAGCTTCACTACTGCATCGATCCCCTTAAAAACTCTTTTAATATAAAGATTCAAGGTTAAACAAAAATTATAATTTTTCAAAAAAACAAGTTCATATAGCCAGCCAACCAAAATGATTTTTAGTCATACTACGCAATAAACTGCAACTCCAAAATTGAAGATTATGTTGAAGTTCTGTAATTACGAGAAGCAGATATATGATTGGCAAAAAAATAAAATAAACGAGCTTATGTAACTTGATAACATTTTTTTTTGTTTCTTCTGTTTCATTGCATCGGGTAAAAATAAATAATTTTAAAGGTTCTCATAAGGGTCAAATATACGTACGTCTACATATAATTGGAACTTTTGTTCATCTTCAGTTTAATTAATTAATGTTTTCCTCCTGATTCTCTCTTTCTTTCTCATCCTATCCTCTTATAAAATTTAATCTTTTTTATTTCTTCATTCTTTTTGAAAAAAAAATCACTTCAAGAGATATTATCCACTCTTTTTGTTCTATCTTAATCAAGACATTGTCAAAAAAAAAAACTTCTTCATTTTCTCGGTTTTTTTATTTTCAATTCTTCTTTCCTCTTCTTATTTCCTTTGATTACTACTTCCCATATTTCGTGAGACACATTTAACAATTTCTACATTTACCTATCGCTATCATTTCTTTAAAATCTAGAACATGATTCGAAACGATATAATTTCTGTTGAAAAGGATTTCTCGTCTTTCGATCGTACTTCAAGCGAATTTTGAGATTTTTTCTTTCTGTGATGAAATGTGCCATTTACATTTGATATTTTTCTCCTTTTCTCATTCCATAACATACATATCCATCCCAATCGATATGAATGAATGAATCAACGGAAAATGATTATCAAATTACAAACAGAAAGACAGTTTTTGCAATTGTGTGGTTTTTGATTGATATTCAAAGAATTCTTTATTTTTCTCAATTTCTTTTTCTTCTTCCTTAGTTAACAAAACAATAAGAAATTTAATTCATTTAATAGTTTTACCTTCCCTTTGTTCTCATTTTACTTACCAACTGCTGATTAAGTTTTGAATTTAAGCGTACTTTTTTGCTTCATTTGAATTTTACTCGTGCTTTTTTGTTTCATTTGAATTTTTCGCGAAATTTTAGAAAATTTGAAAACAAATCTCTAATTTTGATAGAATTCTAAGGATTTTATAGTGTAATACATTCATTTGTTAGATTAAACTTCAAATAAACAAGGAAAGCTATCATTTTGATGTATTGAATTCAATATACTAGTGAAAATGACGAAATAAAGCAATTTAAATTGAAAAATTGAGTGAGATAAAAATAAATCAAGTTTTCATTGTTAACATTCGATTAAATCTAATATAATCAAATTATTCTACTGAAAAAAGTAATAAACGAATCTTAAAGTTATCAAAATAAAGTGATTTTACCGGTTTAAATTCAACAGATCCTAAAACTCATTCAAAGGCACAATTTAATCGCTAAAACGAGAACAAGCACAACCTGATCTGTATCTCAACAATTCATATCCCGTAATTACCTTCCGCAAGGAGTAAAAGTTGCAATAGAATTGCATGAAAATCAGGTATGTCAACACACATTGTTTAAATGCACGATGCATAACATGTAAATCAGATAATTGACACTCAACAATATTTTTAAAAACAAATAATTCACGGTCCCATCGTGAAGCTTTATAGACGACAATAGTAATTCATTTCGTGATTATATGAGTTAAAAATCTTCATACATATCTCCCATATGTGTTTATATTCATGCATTTAGCTTTCAAATCAACTCATTTGTATGTAATTTTTATATTCTCTGGTATATAATTGTCAGACACACTAAGCTATATAGAGTACAATTACTCATGTGTAATGAAAAATATGCAATATTAGCAAAATAAGAGATGCCTTCAAGTCATAATTAGCTTCACTTTACAAAATGTAAATAGTATTGTACGGAATGGTATGGCAAAAAAAAGGTAAAAGAGGATGATGTGTACTGCATTTCATCAGAGAATCATCATCATCCAGTAGAAGAATATGAATTTGTGTGCTCAACTATTCATTGCCAGTTACATGCACTGATGATAATCTTAGCAGTGCTCTTGAATGAAATGGAAACCTGCAAGCATGAGGGAACTTTTAATAGCAACAACAGTTGATTTTTTTTTTGTTGTTTTGTTCGATACAAAAAAAAAGACACACATATCAATTCAACACTATTCTAGCAAAAACTAAGGTTGCTTTTGTTGCTCCCTTATGCTTTTTTTTTCGCAAAACAAAACAAAGCCAGAAAAAATATATTCTTGCAAGTTTTATTGTTCCAGATTTTATGTCTCGATCTTTTTATATTTCATGTTGACGTTTTTCTTATAGAAATGGAAATAAAAACATTTCTAGCTTCTTGAATCATGTTTTTTAATAAAAATTCCATTCAACCCTTATTTACCTCAATGTTCTTATAAGTCTTATTTCTCTTCAATTTTTTGTACGCTCTATAAAACATAGTAAGTACATAAAAAACGTGTATTTCACTATAATAAATTACATGCAATAGATGTTATGGATTTTAAAGCGCTTGAGACATGAAATTGAAACATGTGAACTATTCGTTGTCATTAAAATGAAGCGACAAAAACTCGTTCCTTAAATCTAATTTAACCCTTGAAAATAAGAGAGTGGTTACTTTTTTGCCAAAAAAAGTAGTGACTGAATTAACCCTCTTATTTTTGCGTTGTTGATGCTAGATGGAACGAGTATCGAACGACGACGTGTTCAGCTCTCTTACTCTTATGTATAGCAATTTAATTTGATATGATTTACTTGCGAAAAAAAAGTTATAAGCAGCACAGCAGATTGTTAGTAAACCGCTCGTAAAACTGAGAAAGAAAAAGTTATTACACGATTTTAACTTTGCGTTTTATGCTTGTGACCCTTAATAATAAAATATATAAGAATATTTTCACGTTTATGCATAGCGATGTACGAAGTACGTGAAAAATCTGAGCTCGAGTCATGTACTGAGAGAGAAAAGTTGACAACATCGCATTTAAAATGAAGGGAAGTAGCTCCTCCTACATTTTTTTTTAATTTCCACTAACACTTTGACTTGTGCAAGCACAGCATTAGTTCTTCGGCAGTAATCTATGATTGTGTGTGTGAATCTTTAAGTTAAAAGAGGGGATTTCATGAGAACACACGAATCATAAACAGTGAAAACAAAAAATACCTCTTCATTCAGGTCTGCTCTTTTTCGAAAAAATTTTTTACAACATTCAGACGAAAAGGTGCTTGCGTTACGAGTGGAGGCATTTTTATTGACCTCTCTGTGTTGTTGCGTTTATTCCTTCGGGTTTTTGTACTGAAATACAATAAAGAAAGAAATAAATACAAAAAAAATAAATAAAAATAAAATTATATGAAGAGGCATTTTAAAGTAAAGAAGCAAAGAAATGTGTAATAAAAGGGCAAAAGATGAACAATAATAGTGAGATTTGATTTTTATCGGAAGGCCCCATAAAGGAAAAATATTATTATGAAGTGATATAAACAAAGTGAGACATGAACTACGTCCTGATTATCAATTAAAATAATTGACAAAAATAATCTTTTTTTTTGCCGATAGATGCGGCCAAGTGAACAGATATAAACAAAAGTTTAGTGTCAATTGAATGATTTTACATGTGAACTTATCATTTCTTAATTTTGGATATTTAAAAGAATATAAATATATGGATTCACGACTCTAATTTTTGTTATATGTGGAATATTAAAAATTAGCACACACAAAAAAAGAAATAATAATAATAATAATAAAAAATAATAATCGTGTCAATTTCATGTGTGTACCAAAAATTTCTAAATGAGACGAAATTGTTAATAATTTGTTGTTAAAAAACAAAAGAATATAAAGTGCGCGAGTAAAGGACCTTAGAATTTTATTATTATCATTAAAACACAAATTGAAGAAATGTTGACGATGGAATCTGATATGAAAGGGGGAATTCTACATGCGACAATGCCCCCACATCATCCATCATCAATTCATTCACATTCATCAGCTTATGGAACTTTAGGACCTTTAAGCATGATGAACTTACAACAATCACAATTAGCTCAATCACAGTTTTCACATCAGGCTCATAACATGACAAATAATTCATCGAATTATAGTCAACAAACTCATATCTCGCCGGCACATCAGCAGAATGCAGGCATGAGCCCAAATCAAACACAACCGCAAACAACTCAATTAAGTAATCATCATATAACGTCATCGGGTCCAACGGGAGGACATGGTGGTGGAAATGGTCAGAGTAAAGCTGCTCAAATCAATTCCGATCGTGTAAAGAGACCAATGAATGCGTTTATGGTATGGAGTCGCGGACAGAGAAGGAAGATGGCATCTGATAATCCAAAGATGCACAACAGTGAGATTTCAAAGCGTCTCGGTGCACAATGGAAGGATTTATCAGAAGCTGAAAAACGTCCATTTATTGATGAGGCTAAACGACTTCGTGCCGTTCATATGAAGGAACATCCAGATTATAAATATAGACCACGACGAAAAACAAAGACCTTAACGAAAACAAAGGAGAAATATCCACTTGGCGTTGGCTCATTAATACAGCAATCAGATCCAAATAATTCGAGCAGTCGAAATTCCTCATCATTATCCAATGCTCAACAATCAAACCGTGATATTTATCAAATTACATCAAATGGATATATGCCAAATGGTTACATGATGGATCCTGCTACGGCTGCTTATCAGACACAACATAATCCTTACATGAGCAATTATCGTCATTATGAAATGACAAATCAAATGCAACAGGGCGGAACCTACATGAATTCATCAGGTTATGGTAGTATGTATAGTGTCTCAGGTGGTCAAACGTCGCCATATGCAAGCTTACAGCAGCCAGGATCACCATATAATAGTATTCAACAACAACCTGCATCTCCATATAACAGTTTAAATCAGGGTGGCGGCTCTCAAATGTCCTGCCAAAGTCACAGTCCAAGCGAATCAAGTATTAAATCCGAGCCGGTTTCACCATCGCCAACAAGCATCGCCACAAATAACAATAATCACGTCATGAAACGTGAATACATCCAACAGCCAGTTCACAATCATGAAATCAGTCATCTTATGAACATGTATCAAATTCCTGACTCAATTCCGTCTTCAGCTGAACATCAACGATTGATTCATTATCAGCACAGTGCATCGCCAGATCTACAAACGTCGCAGCAGCAACAACAAGCCTTGCGAATGGCACCACTTGCACACATGTGAGATCAATTTCATAATGGCTCATTGCCATTCACAACTCAGCATTCCGTTGAAGCATCAACAACCATATTGCCATTCAATCGACATCTAAAGCAAACATTTAATGATAGCACATCCACAACCTCAGATATTTTACTAATTAATCGCGAGAATGGTTGTGGCAGCATGATGGATATATCAGCTATTTAATGATAACTCTGATAAATCATCATTTATTATTCCATTTTTTTTTATTTCATTTTAAATTAATTAAGTTTAGTCTGTCGATCTTTTTCTAAAAAAGAAGTTGTTTCTTTCAAATTTTACTTCCAATTCTCTCATCTCACATCTTGATTTTTTGATAACAAAATGAATAAATTAGTAATGAAAAGCTACAAAAAAAAATCGATAATAATTAAATAATATAACAAGTGAATTTAAAGCAGCACATAAAGAGGAGTAACATATAATAATAACAACAGATAAGTGTGTGCAGGCATGAACCAGAAAAAAAACGAGTGAATCAAAAAAAAAATAGAAAGTTTCGAAGAGATATTGGAAACAAATGAAGCAGTAATGATGAATGAATACAAAAAAAAAACAAAAATTACAACAAAGATGAAAAATTTGTTCTAATTGCATTAAAAACAAGATGAAGAAACTGTGTGATATTTAAAAAAAATTAATAATAACTTAATGAAAGAAATTAATTTGTTAAAAAAAAATAATAATTTAAAAAAAGGAAAGAGTTGAAAAAATAATTCCTGAAGAATGCGACGAGTCGCCCGGTGAAATTAAATTTTAAATAAAAATTGTATTTGATAAGGAATAAGATGTTCAATTTTAGTTCATAGCTGTGGGGTTGGTCATTTGTGATGTTTTAGGTTTGGGGGAACTTTACTTGGTGACCTCTTGGTCAACTCATGTTTGAAGTTCTCGTTTGGTTGGAGGGTTAAACCTTTTTTGGTAGGAAAGTGAACCCTTTGTCATCTCAAGTTCGAGATCTGAATAGTAAGGCTACACCTCAACCATCACCAGTGACCAACTCCAATCTTTTTCATAATTTGATTTTTCTCGAGTTTTAAAGGTAAATGCTTGATTAGTTTACATTTTTTTCTCATCATAATCCTAAAAAGACATGATAAATCTCTTTTGTAAATATTAATAAGAGAAGTAATGAAGAGAAAAACATGGAAATGAGGCAGAAGCATTCAAAGAGAAAAAAAAAAAAGAAGGTGGAGTTGTGAAAAAGACAAACACAAAATAAAAAAAATCACACACAAATAGATTAATTTTAAGTGGTTGATTATGAGAATCTTAATAATTTGTTTGATATTTCTTTCAACGCCTTCCATTCCTTAAGACTCTAAAAATAATAATTTTATTTAACTGACGTCGGAAACTTTTTTCACATACACAATAAATCACATATATAGTCATTATTCAATGGCATAATCGTTGCCTTAATAATAAAAAAAACCTTCATCATTATTGTTGTTATCGTCAACAAGGAACAACCGTAGAGATTTCGCGACACATAAATGAGATGAAATTACGTGGAAATTAAATTTATATAAATCACATCTGTGCATTATATATATTTCATCCTCATCTTCCTACCCCCCTACTTAAGTCTCATCTACAAAAAAAAAATTCATTTGATTAAGCTTCACAACGTAGTGACAGGAAAGGAATAAAAAATGAAAATGGAACGCGACGAAATGAGAAATATGAAAACAAATTATTAAATTTCTTTAAGCTTTATTAAGTTGTAAAACGACAACATTTTTAGCCAGTGCGTTTAATGTACATAAAGAGAAATGAACGAACATGAAATTCATTTTCCAATTTATAATTTTATGATACATAAACATATTTTAATTTAACTTGATTCGTAAAAAAGAAGGAAAATCGCACATAACTACACAACACATTCAGAACAAGCGACATTAATGAGTGAAATGAGAAATTATTGTTTTTTATTGTTCACATAAGGCTTAAGTTTTTAAATCAATTTAAATTTGGATTTCAAGTTTGCTTGAGATTTGAAACTTTAACTGTCATTTAAGATTTGAATTAAGTCAACTTTAATAAAACAAATTCAACAGTTTTTGAAATTTGAACTATAAAGGGGTGTTAAAATATGAAGCATCAAAGTTTTTTGAATTTTGAAAACAGAATTTTAACACCTTTTAAAGTTTAAATTTTAAAAGGGTGTCAAAGTATGAAAATTTAACGAATTTGGAATTTTAAAAAACTGTTGCATTGATGTTTGAGTTCTTAAGTTCAGAATTTAACGGTTTCTTGAATTTAAATATTTTGATAGGGTGTTAAAGTACGATTTAAACGGATTTTAAATATCAAATTTTAAGTATTCAAAACTCGAGATTCTTATAAATTTTGAATCTTCAGTCTTTTTAAAGTTCAAAGTTAACAACTTTCGAATATTTTAAAGAGTGTGAAAGTAAAATACAATTTTGTATCCCATTACAACCTTTAATTTGCCTGACAAAATCTCATTTAAGCAAAATTTGAACAATTAAAGTAATTTTTCATTTCACAATAATGACTCAAAACTTACTCAAAAGCTACAACTTTAATATATATTTTCACATATTTGCCTACAGTTAATTGTAAAAAAATCACAGAGTTATGATCACAACAACAATCGAGAGAAATATGAAGAAAAATGAGCGAAAATATATGAAGTGAAAGAAATTATTAGATTTCGTTATTTTCAATTATTATTATTTCCTATTATTGTGTTTACTCGCATATAGTTAGAGGTTGGCAAACAAGAAGAAATTGAATATGAAAGATTGCATTTATACTTATTTATTGGTGAGAAGTTGGCTTATATTGCTTGAATTGGAAATTCAATTGGGCTGGTAAGGCTTCAACAAATCGAAGTTGTTATCCCAATTTTTATTAATTTTATTTTTCATTAAACTTTTTTTTTTCTTCATATTTCTTTGCGGCGAGAAATGTGTTGAAATGAAAAGAAAGGAATAAAAAAATCTTTTTTGCTTATTTATTGAGCGCAGTTTCGATTTCCTTTTATGTATATAAACTTATATTAAAATTAACTATATGGAGATTTTTTATTATTATAATAATAATTTTTATGATTTTTTTAAGAACTTTTTTATATTCAAAAAAAATCATTTTTTAATATATCAAAAGAAATACCAAATATACAGCAAAAATTCAATTGTTTAAATATTTTTTATTTTATGAATTATTGTACAGTAACAAAACAAAAAAAAGTGAAATAATTTCATCAGAGAGTACAGAAATTATAAGAGACAATTATAAGACATAAATAGAAGTATGTTTAGTAATTTAAGTTTTAAAAAAGAGAATATGACAAAAAAAAATTATTGTCCCGACGCTCGGGAAGCAAAAAAAACTTCTTTCATTAAATTTGAAATTTTATTGATATAAGGAAGAATTTATACATAAATTAAATTACACACAACACAATTTGAAGACTTTACCTACATAAGTATTAATTTTTACTGAAAAAAAAAATGATTAAAATCGAGCATATTATATAAATAAATTAAAAAAATTATGCTACAAAAAAAATTATTAACAAAAAAACTTATTTTAAAATATTTTTCTCCTAATTTTCTTCTTTCTTATTTTTTCTAAAATGAAAGGAAAATGCGAAAAATTATCTTTTTAGATACATTAAAAATGACGAGATAACGAATATTAATAATAATGAAAGGAGAAATTGTAGTAATAATAGAATATAACTAAATGATTAATTAATAAATAATAAACATGAACAAAGTGACAAAAAATGCTAGAATGAAAAAATAATAAAAATTGTATCACAAAAAAGATGAAAAAAATTTCAGAGATAAAAAAATTCAAATAAAAAATGACAAAAAATTAATAAAAAAAACATATGTTTACTTAATTTTATAATTTGCACCTATTTCCACCATTATCTACTACTCTATTGTATCAATCGCAACGGTCATTTAATGCACAATAACAATACTTTCCGCTTATTTGTTATTATAGGCTCGTTTTTCAATTGTTTGCAACAAATCATCAACATGAGTTGAATTATCGTTATTTGGAAGTGATTGTAGCGCTGTTATGCTTGAATCTATCAGAATTTGTTATGGATTCCTCTGATTTTGATATTTAAAACTTCGAGTTTCAAAATGTTTGCTCTTTAAAATGTGATATTGAATTTTTTGATTCTTAGAATAAAAATACAAATTTCTATAGTTTTGCGTCTTTTCTGCTTCATTTATTGCATCACTTTTGCATCATTTGACGCGTACTGTCTGCATCTTTGAAATTGTCAATTCTACGTCAATTTTCAAAAAGATTTAAAATTTCAAAAGTTAAAAAAGTTTTGAATCAAAATCTTCCCGCCAAATTCTGTATCTATTCTGCTTCATTCTTTGTGTCTATTCTGCATCATTATTTGCATCTTTTTCTGTCTCCTTATAATTTGAAATAACTGTTCAGTTCCTTTTGTTTCAGCTCAATTGATTATTATTGTAGCCTTTATATTGCTTACAACGATCTAATTAAGCATCATATCTTCAATTTCAGTCAGACAAATCACCACCAAGACTCATTAGATCTAAATTAAACGCATCAAAATAAACAAAACTGAACAAAATTAAAGCATACAAGAGCAACAGAATGAGAACCAGCAATGATGTAAAGATGATCATCTATCTTATGATATGGGAGAAATGAATTAAACCGTAGCTTGACACTTTAATTATCTTACAGTGAAGATCTTAATTGACCAATCATCATAACGTGCACAATTTTTCATTTATTTATTTTATTTATATTTAATCTTATAATCTTCCACAGTGCACGCTCCATAAAAATTTTTGTTTTCCCTAACATTACTAATTGGATTTGCTGCTTGCCTTTTTTTCTTGTTAAAGAATAGAACATAAAAGAAAAGCAGTAGCAATGAAAATTATGCAATTAATACTGTTAATTGCGTTTCTCTCTCTCTCTTTTATATGTGTCTCTGTCTATGAGTTTGATTATCAACAGAATGATTCTATTGTTGCCGCAATGAGAGAGTGTAACAGCAAGCAGGCATTGAAAATTAAGTTGATGACTTTAAATGGAAATGAGAAAAATTTCCTCTGTGATTGCAATTTCTTTTATTGTTATTTAAGGATTTTCCGCTATTTGTCGTTCTTCACACTCACTTGAATTTCGTTTCGCACCTTGTCTGTCGATTGGAAATGGCTTTAAGAGTATGGAATAAGAAGCATGAGGTACGTTATGTGCATTATATTTCAGAGAATACTAATTTATTAGATTTTAGGTATGACAAATATTAATAAACTCAATTGGAAGGGTAAGTTTTGAGTTTTGAGAATAGAAAACACAATTTGTGATACTTTTAAGGGGTAATGAGATTTGAAGTTTTACAAATGAAACCCAATTTGATCAGAAATTGGCTGAAGATACAAAAAACGTTGTGTTGAATTTTAAAAAAGTAATCTATGATATAATTAAAAGATCCATTATTTTGTCAAATTTGAAATTTTTCCCGCACTTTTTTCTTTGACATGTTTTTTTTGTTCAAAAACATTGAAGATTTAAAGAATTTAAGTTATTTTGAACTCTATAGGTTAGTATTAAGTGATAGTTTAATGTTTAAAGCATTGTTTAGTATTTTAATTCATTAATTTAATGAAGCTGTCGAAGATTAGAACTGATTTCAAGAAAATTGTTCAGATTACAAAAGTATTTTGACGAAAAACCACAAAACTTCAAAATTAGCTAATAATTAATAAACAGCAGATGGAAGCAATATATGTTTAAAGAAGTTCCTGTTTATGGCCAATAAGTAAGTATCATGCTTTTTAATATTATCTAAGTTTATTCAAAAGGAATGGCACAATATATTTTATCTTAAAGAGCAGATTAAAGAGCTTTTGCTATTTACATCCTGAAGGAATACACTGCTTCGCTGAAATCCTTTGTCAATTTTGTTAATCTTCCTTTAAAAGATTTTTGCTTCCGAGCAAATCTAGAGCACAAGCTACAGTTTTGCAAAGATCACCATATAAAACTTCAATCCAGTCAGCAAAAATTTGGAAAACTTTTCAAACTTCCGAATCTACCCACGAGGTATCCGTAAAAATAACTTTATAACCAACACGAGAGTGCTTTATGCTTATTCAAGACGTCAAGAAAGTTTTTTTTGTAGACACAAAATAACATCATACATGTCACATGTATATGGGCGATTCTCCAGATAGGTTGAATTTTTAAAAACAGAACTGTAATTCCACTGCTACTTGAAATTTTTAAATTTTTGAAATACGTTGGGAAAAATGTAAACAAAGACTTGTTTGGGGCTGTTCACTTATTACGTAACGCGAAAAAATGACTTCTTAGACCCCCCCCCCTTCCTCGTAACAAAATTTGTATGAAAAAAAAATTTCCTTGTTTGAATCGTAACAAAATCTTAGACCCCCCCCTCCCCCTAAAAGCGTTACGTAATAAGTGAATGGCCCCTTTACAAAAATAAAATTTTGTTTTAATTTATAAAAATCATTTTTTTTATATGTTTTAATTAAACAAAAGGTAATTAATAATTAATATTGCACTCAATCATCATCGTTTCTTTTAAAAATATTCCATTTAAATTTATAACGTATTTGAAAAATTTGAATCTCACAAATTAGTTTCAAGCGCTTTAAAAATTACTCGAAGACAAAATTTTCATCAAAAGAATTGAATTTTCTTGTGAAATTTGTATTAAGCTTAATAAAATTGTTGTCATATATGATAAAAAAGTTCGTTTTCTATCGATTGGTATTTATATCATATGTCAAAGAATAGTTTTTAATACTTAATTTTTGATTATAAAAATCCAAATTCCATATTTTGTCTTCGAGAAATCGTCCGAAGAATCGAAATATTTCCTTAATTAGAGTATATTGAAAGCATTTAATTATACAGATTTGTAGAGTTTAAAAAGTTGTACAATATTAATTTGTCTTTCGAGGCTCTCTAATGGAAAAAAATTATAAAAAATTCATTTTAGTGGTGGTTTTTTGAAAATTTTTATCTGGAGAATCGCCCATATTTGTGCATCCGATCATGAAACAAAATGTAAAAACAAATTTTTATTTATTTGGCTTCAATCAATTACGAAATCAAACATGTTGCAGAAAAAAAAGACAGGAGAGAAAAGAGAGAAA